TAAAATTTGTCACAGTTGTTGACAGCACAGCAGATATCATAGTGATTCTTTAAGAGTGAGTACTTCCTATAAACTAACCATCCATTTATTCCTGAGGTAAAAAGTTACTTATGTAGTTTCAGATACTTTGACAATCCAAAATAAAAAGTTTAATTAGAATTTGCACTACTAAGTTGTCGCCCATTTTTCCTAAAGTTTACCATTTAATTAGAAACAATTATCTGTTAAACAGACAACACACATCAAGTGTGTCATAATGATTATCTGACTTACTAATACAGACCATATTTCATTCCTGGTATATGATATATATCATCCAAACAATAAAAATTAACCTAAAAGATCTGAAATTTGTCATTATTTTTCTTATTTGAAATAAATACATAATTTCCTTAGCTTCTTAAAAATTCAAAGTGTCTTCCACAATAGCTTTAGAGAGAATATAAAACCATATTCTTGTCATTAGACAAGAATAAAATATAAAATATTTATAAATATAATATAAAACTATATTCTTGTCTATATTTGTCATTATTTTCCTTATTTGAAATAAACATATAATTTTCTTAGCTTCTTAAAATTCAAAGTGTCTTCCACCAACAGCTTTAGAAAGAATATAAAACTATATTCTTAATCCAGCAATAAATGTATAAAAATATTTGGAAATTATTATGCTTTCTACTCTGATGCAGTTAATCTTACAGAATCACATAATTAGGTATGCTGAGGATCAATAACTACATTTCTCTAGAACACTGAAGAACTTTAAGATGCATTTTATGACTTGTTTCTTATCCAATTTTCTTTAAATCAAGCATTTGCACATAATCTGCCTTCTCATTCATCTAAACTCCAGTACATATACATTTAAGTAATATCCTAATTTCATTAAGTCTCTGACTTCTATTATTTAAAGATTTTTAAATCACCATTAAAGATCTTCACTCTACTCACTCAAAAAAAATTGTGAATACGCTAATAATATGGTTGTCTTTATGAGAGTATTCCTCTTTTTGTGCCTTAGTATCCTCATTTATTAAATGAAAAGTTAGGATTGATGAGCAATCTTTATCATCTTTAGCACTAGCATTCTCTTTTATCTTTTGAAAAAAACCCATGTAAACATCTTTTTTCTTTTAAAAACTCAGCTTTTTATTATATGCTTTCTACTAAGCTTGATTTGAAAGACTTTGCTACCATTAAATAGGCAACAACTCAATAAATTAACCAGAGTGAAGATTATTTATATCATGTTTTTAGAAGTGACTACTTACACATTTTTGTCAAACAGAAATCCAACACAAATTTGAGAAGCACTGATGTATGCCTGACTGTATTTTATGGATAGCTTAACTTCAACAATGTGGTCCTTCTATTTTAGTAACAAATTGAGAGAGATACCAATTCTAAAATACGTAATTCAACTGCAAGCAATCAAGCTATCTGTGTAAATATATTTCTCATTTTGCAACTTCCTAATTTTGTTTAAAACTATACAGATACCTCTAACCATGAAGGAAATGGTCACTTTAAGATATTAGTAAAATTCATTTCAAAACTAATAGACAATTAAGTGAAAGAATCCATAATAAACTGACTCTATATGAGCCACTGAAGCTGGGCTATGTGTCTAAAGCCCTCAGGAAGATGTTTCTCAGAAGCAACCTGTTAGTCATCGTTATTTGCCTACTACCAACTTGGTCAATTTTGAATTTAAACACAAACAGAAGACACTGCATTAATAATCTTAGCAAACACAGCCTTTGTTATCAGAAGCATATCTGATCTTTTAACTGATTTCTGATTAAGTGACCAAAGGGACAGATTTGATCTCCCTGCGAGGCTGGACTAGCATATGCTCCTGAAGTAGCACCATTTCACCTGCTGATCCCGGGCACTCAAAACAACACTCCCGCAGGGCTTACTACAAATTGCTGACAAGCTTTCAAAGTTCCTCCTAAAAATGATCAACTTTTTGCAAGACATAGTATTGGCTGCACTGGCAAAGGTTGAGTATCATTTTAATTTATAAAAAGAAAATCTAATCAGATACTATTTTTCTTAGTATTCAATTATAGCTATCTAGGCTTAAACTGTTAGTAAAAACCCTTATATAAAATCATCTAATGCAATCATAGTGTAGTCCTGGTATACCTGAGATAAATCCCAGATCCTATCTCTAATGGACTAATTGCCAAAAAAAAAAAAAAAAAAAAATCCAGGTTCAAATCACTTAAGTTAACCATAGGCAAATATATAAAACACAAAACTCAAGTCAATGTAAATAAACATTTACAAAAACTACACCTAAACTGTTTATTCTAAATCAATAGTAAAAGTTGAAATATTTAGTGTTGATATTTCTAAGTTATAGTTTTAATTTTCAGTGTAAATATGACTATCTGTTATGCCATGAATATTTAATCCATTCATATCCAAGAACTTTCCTCTGTATTATTTTCTCTAACGTCTAAATTTATTATAAACCTAGACCTTTTTAAGGCTCTGATGTTTTAATTTTATAGAAAAATAGGTTTTATTTTACATTATGTTTGGGTTTAGCCATCAAAACATACCACCACAGCTCAGTGAAATCGACATCATAGTATGGTGCTGGGATATAGTATTTTTATTTAGAACTGGTGTAAAATACCACTCAATACTTCAACCACAAGTCTACAGGCCAGTATTAGAACTGGAGGCGGCATTTATTTTTCCCGTATGGGGTGATTCACACTTTGAGAGCCAGCGTTCTTGTTTTAAGCTTTAATACACTCCTATTGCCCTTGTGGAGTTTATTAGTAGACAAGAATGTCTACAAAAATAGGTTTAAGTAAATACATGGCCTCCCATTAAGCAATAAGCACCAAGCAACTTGATCAAACAAATGCCCAAATCCTACAATACGTGGATCTAAACTTTCCTAGGACTTTCAAGACTTTTCACGAGAAAGGACGAGCAGAAACCCAACAAGGTCTGATCCTCCACTTTCCCATTTCCCACAGCACTTGGCTTTTGAACAACAGGCAAAGTTATTTTTCCACCATGAACTTGATGTGGTAACTGAGATGTTTTTTTTTTAAATGTCTCAAGGATGTTGCCAGATTTAAAATAGAACATAATGCATCAGAAATGTAAAACTTTGATCTTCTAATATTATCAGGTATTTACAGAAAGGCTCGATGTAGGGGGGGAACATATTTATTTTCAGTGAAATAATCACTTAATTCATGCAGTGGGGTCCCTTGAGCTTATATTTCATCTGTCATTGAAAAAAATTGTTTCTATGTTTGTAATGAGATGTCATTATAATACTCTTACCTATGTGTGTATGGAAACGCTGGAAAAGGAATGACATGTCCATTCTTCCTTAATCAAGGGTCTTTCCCCAGTATCTATGTAGCTGGGCACTAAGAGGCCTCAAGTACTCTACGGCAGAAGCCTGAATTTCCAAATGATAAATTAACCAGCAGAGGGCAGAATTGCGGACAGAATGGACCCATCCAACCGATGGCCAGGTACCAGAGGTAAAATGCAAACTTTTTGATGGATCTACTTTCAAAGACTCTCTTATTTATCCTCGAAAACGTGACAAGGAATGACTCAACAAAGTTAACATAACTCCTTTCAAAATTCAAGGATGGCCCTAAGGAAGCTCTGACTGCAATCGCAAAAAAAAAAAAAGTCACACTGAGGAATAATCCAGGGCAGACAGCCGCTCGGGACGGTGAAAGTCATTAAGGGCGCGTTAGGAATACACACCTGGTCGCAGAGGGCGGCCCCCGAGGGGCCCGAGTCCCCTCGGAGAACTCAGACCTTGGCATCTAGACCCAAGGTTAGACTCAGGTTTCCGCTAAGGCCGGCGGCGCATGTGGGCTTGACATTTTTTCCTCCCTTAGCCCAAACTCGCCACCCTTCCTCCTATCCCCAGCTGGTGTCCGCGCTCCCCGCAGCCTGGGCTCGCTCAGCTCCGCAGGCGTCGCCTGCCAGCCGTGTCTACAGCACCTAACGGACCGCTCCGGCCAGATGCCTTTTCGGGAAAGGGCGGGGGAAGAGGAGGGAGGGGCGGAGGGAGGAGGCAAGTCGCTCTCCCTCCTCGGGTACTGACAGGGCTGCAGACTTCCACGCAGGTCTGCTCACCGAGTGTTTGGTGGTGCCACGTAGGAACTTCCCTTACCTCTCCCCACCCGCCCCACCGCGCGCCCCCTCTCCGGCCCTCCCCGGCCCGGCTCCTCCGCCCCCACCCCATTAGCTGGGCCACTTTCATCGCCCTCCAAGTGCAGTGCACGTCCAACCTGCAAGAAGAGGTGGCGGGGGGTCACAGAGGGGAGGAGGGCACTGAAATCCACTGAAGGTGTTTTCTCTACCTTGAACACGTTTCTAATAATCTGCCAATCCTGCTAAAACCTCCTCTCCCCCCACCCCCACACACACAAACTGTTTTTAATCTTCTAGATTCAACTCCTGGTTTCTCTTATATCCCCCAAAGTAAAACAGCCTGTTTCTCACTTTGTTGCAGACAAAGAACTTTATCAAGGTTCATTTTATACCCTTTCTCTATATTTTCTCCTCAGTTCACCCTTAAAAAGATATTCCCATTAGTTAGACTCTGAAGAAACCAGAAGGTGTGTTCAAGGGGCAATCTGAGTTCCTCAAACAAAAGCTTTATATGACTGCCCTTGTGTTCAAGGTAGTATTTTTTCCTCTTTTCAAGGAGGCTGTAAAGTGGTGAAGGGCGTTTGCAGCAGGCTCTGTGCCTGACAGATCTCTCTCTCCTGCTACCTACCTACCTTCTCTCCCATTATTGTCCCGCCTACATATCTCCCTGTCTCCCTCTCTCTCACCAGTTTACACTTCCAACCTGGTGGCAGTTACAATCTGGATTTTATTTAAGGGCATTTTCCCCCCTCGGGGGGCGGGGAACAGGGAGAGAGGGGGAGGGGCGCAGGAGAGCGAGACCGACGGCATCTCCCACCTCCCCAAATGCATTTTTTTCTTACCTCCTCTGACCTCTCTAGCTTGGAAGAGGAAAGTCAGTGCGAGGGTTGTTACGGTGAAGTCCCAGAGCCACCGTTTCGTTTTCCACCTAGAGGACCACGGCTCCATCTCCGAGCCCCGCACTCACGACTGTGAACTCAACCCACGAAATTGCGACTGCAGACCAACTCCGTCCCTTCCGAGGTACCGCCGGGGATATGTGCTACACAGCCATTGGGGAGCGTGAGGTGAAAAAGTCTAAGGGCTTTCTCGTTGCAATTTGATGGTTTCCTTCCTTCCTGTCTCTCGCCCCCTCCTCTCCCTCCGGGCTGGCCGGGCGGCTGGGACCCTCCGATCCGTCCTCGGCCGGGCCCTGCCTTCACACTGAAGGCAGATGAGGGGCTTCACCGGGCAAGTCGAGAGCACTCGGCGCCCCTAAAGGCTTCATGCCGTCAGTGGGCCGGACGAGAGGCTCCGCAGCCCCCTCCCCCGCCCACTCCCCTCCCCGCGCCCCGCGCCCCCCCAACTCCGGGGCGAAACTGACAAGCAGGCCGAGGGTCCGACCCAATCACGCGCCTCCCGGGCCGCCCCGAGCCCGCCCCCCGCGCTCGGCCGGGAGTCGGGGCTCGGCAGGCCCGGCCCACCGCCCACCCCCCAGCTTCCCACCCTGCTCCTCCCGCCTCCCCGGCCCCAATCCCAGAGCAGAAATGGGAGGGAGTTCCGCGGGACGCGTGCTTGGCTGCAGAGCTTTGGGAATGAAAGGAATTGCAGGAGAGCCCCGGAGCGCACGGAGTTTTCAAGGAGCTTCTGTACTCAATAAAAACAGCTACTTGTCTGCTCGCACCAGTCTGTTAGCCTCTTGTTCGTCGGCGGGGGAGGGGAGGAACCGGCGGCTGATCCGCCACCCGCCGGAGTCCCGGGCTGGCAGCCGTAACCCTATCCGTGCGCAAAAATCTGCTTCGTGTGGCAGACGTGGAACCCGCGGACTTCTCGCCCTGCATACTCCGAAAAGTATTTTTATTTCTTTTTTAACCTGTTTTTAGAAGAAAGGAACGAAGGTGGCATAGAGGGACCCTAGAGGTCCCTACCCGCGAGTTTGTAGGGAAGCTCTCCTTGGAGATTTGAAACTGACAGGTTTCTCTATTAAAACGTTTAAATTCAACACCAGGTTCATTCAGGGGCTCGCCTCTTACAGAGCTGAACTGTACTTGGAGGGAGGAGGAGAAAGAAATTTATGGGAGCTGACATTAAGGGGGTGAGTAATTTAATTTTCCAGCTGATTCTAGCCTAGTCCTTAAGGAGGGGGCAGAGGAGGAGGGGGAGAAAAGGCAAGGAAAGCGACTAGCAGAAATCTCCAAGCGTCTCGGCCCCCAGTCGTGACCCTGAGACCTGGGAGCTGAAAGTATGGCCACCCCCCAGTGAAAGCAATGAGGAGAAGCAGATTTCCAAATTCCCTCCTCCCTTACCCCATCCTCAAAGTAATCCTCTTAAACCTGGAATATAGATTCCCAGGTCATTTTTTCCAAGTTAAATTTATTCCGTGCTATTGACTCCTTTGTGTTCCCTAATATTTCCAAGGATGTTTCTCTCCAGGACTTTCTGGAACAGCGCCCAACAGGGTGCCAGCATACATTAGCCACTCCGTTGAATGAATGGATACATTTTTCTGTTGACAAAGACTGGAGGTGCCGCTCAGGGCCTACTTGGCGTATTTAAGACATTTGAATGCCTACGGTCCTCAATAAGTTTACTGTGTACATATATTCAATTCGGTAGCTGCCATTAATTTTTAGGAGCCAAATTTTTGGTCATCAAAATATGCCTCCTGATCCAGTAGGTTATATCACATCTTTACGTGGCTTCAGAGTTAGAAGAAAGGTGATCAGAGCCTAGATTGAGCCCCCAGGATGGAATTGCTTAATAACATGAATAGAGGTATGTAAAATGAGGACTCAGGTAGCAAATACCTTCAATAAGAATGTTACTTTCTGAGACAAAGAACCACTCTCTCATCAAGTTTATCTATTAGATTAGAGGCTAAAAAAATATATATGTATTTTGTAGTGCTGCTGGCAGAATTTGGGGGATGCAGAGAAATACCACTCACTCTTCAGATTACAACCTCAAGCTGTTAACATATGTTAATAAAATAATTTAGTATCGTGTTGCATGTGCACCTGGAATCTACAATTACAAATTAAGAACCTCACAGTGGAAGTACTGATACATTTACCAACTTCACCTTCTCCCTAGCAAAAAAATGTGCAGTTTCCAAACTTTTAAAAAATATTTTTCTGTCCAATTCTTTGTATATTGAAAACATTATTTTCTAGGTCTTCTCTTAAATATAAAATAGTGAAGTGAATACAAGTTTAGAAATACATATTTGTGAGGCTGCCAGAATCCTAAATCAATTCATTAGAGAGAGTTGCTACACTTGCAGCAATATGCAGAAATGCTGTTCCAAATTGTTTCTCCATAGCTCTCCTGATTTATTAAGAATTCCATAGACTGATACTCTTCTGGAAGGTGTGAAATGATGCAGGTCCTACCTTCTGGTAACATCTCAGACCTCCTCACCACTGTGAAAGGGTCCTTTCAGGCAAAGGATGTTGAGTAAATAGAGTTATTACTACTTTACGCTCCCTGTACTCTGTGGTCTGAATTCCTCTGGCCTCTGCCCAGCTAGGCATAACCTGGTCTGAATTAATACCTCTGGGAGGAAACATGGCAGCTTCCTGGTGAGGAATAATTATGTCTAACCTCCCTCTCTCCTGCAGCTAGCTGCCAGATCTAGAGATTCCCAGGAACCTGCCCATGGATCGACAGGAGATGAACTCAATGGAAGGAAAGATAATATTCAACAACAAAAGGGAACAGAGGAAAGCCAGAAGAGATCCATCTACTTCCCACCCGGGGGAACTTCCACCACCATTATTTCCTAGACCCCTTTCCAGCCAGTCATTGCTAATTGTTCATACATAGATTCAAAATGTAATAAAATATGACAGTTTTCCAGATATCAGTTTTTAGCATAAAGGACAATTAGCTAAATTTCCTTACTTTGTCACGTTAAGAAATATTTAAAGATTTTTTTTCAACTTTGTAGAATTCATTCGGATTTGCAAGCTTTTCAAAAGCAAGATAGGAAAAAATGGAGAAAAAATAATCACTGCTTCTTTATTTTATATTAACCACCTGTCTATATTGACTTATCAGAGAAACTGAGATAATAAATTACCATTGACTGTGAGGACAGATTAGGGAGAGTGAAACGTTCTAAAAAATCTTCAGTGTCTATGGGGATTTATTAAATATTGTGAGAAGTTCATAGATCCCCTGAATATCTTCCAAAATATCTAGAAATTAGGGGATCCAGATTCGGAATCAAGGTTTGAAATACTGAGACCTCAGGAACTAAAGACAGATGGAAGGGAACCTTGTCCGTAGCGGGACACCCCTAATACAAGGACGATTAGAGGATCCATAGAACAACATCTACAGTAGTCCTGAAATTACTATAGGTAGAACCAGGGGAAAGAAGAGGTAAGTCAGATAGCAAGATTTTAGAAATGATGTATCATCTTTTAGATCCTTTGGTACTTATTGTCCTTTTCTCATGCTGATGCTTATATCCTTCCTATTTTTGATATCAATAGATAGGTGTAAGTAAAGATAGACAGATAGAAATTAGGCATTTTCTCCAAATGCTTTACTATAATTAAATTACTGCATCAAATTTTATTTACTGAATGAGAAATTATTTTTTGGAGGGGAGGGGAATTTCTTGTACAAAACCACAAATATTTAAAACTTTTTTTTTTTTTTAATATTTAAAACTTGAAAGGTGCTTTTGAATGTAATCCCTCACTTAGCCTAATGGTTTGCCTTTCTTGCCCTTTTCTGAACTTTAGGTCAATTATTTTAAGAGGGAAATGACTAAGCAGATTGACATTCATTTTACAGTTCTTCTAATTCATGAGTGGCTAAAAATTAGTCTCTGTTTAAAAGTGGACTTAGTGCCTCTTACCTCACAGATGGACCATTGTGTTGTAGAAAGTGGGGGTGGAGAGGGGACAGAGAAGTTTATTTCCATAGTCTAGCCTAGCTCACAAGAACCTCACAGTGATCACTGGGTGTTTTTTGGCAACTTTACTCAAAAATAACTTACAGAACTTCAGAGGAATCCGAATTTAACTCAATTTCCATGACACAATGAAATCTTCAGATGAAAATCCTGTTGGCATATTAAAAGAGCCAACTCAGGGATGACAGACCTACTTGTTAAAAAGAACTTAAGTAAACCCCAAATAAGCAATGACTATGGTCTTGGATGTTCTTGTATATCTCTCTTAAAATTATCCTTTAATTAGCCATACTCACTGAAAGTTATCAGAGTTCCTTTTCATGATTGTTCCATCAAAGATAGAAGGTAAAAACAGAGAAAAGAATGATTCAGTATAAAAACTTCGATATATTTTGGACTTCTGTCAAGATACCTTTAGTCTCTGTATTTTTTTTTCCCCTTAATTGGGTGGGTTTGGTATTTACTAAGCTTTTGGCACACCGAGCATGTGTGTCAGCAAAAATATAACAAGACTTTTTACAAAGTGGTAGAGGGCAGGACCCACAACTCTATTAGTAGAGATAGAGGAATGGATTTTAAACATTTTAGTGAACCACATGCCATAGCTAAAGGTAACACACTACTAATACAGAGCCATGATATTTTACTGTATATAATATACCAACTACCTATCACTTCAGTAGTATGATCTTGACTTCCACTGGCTATTCCTAATAAAATGAGTTGCTAAAGGAAGGGATTTTACCACCTTTAAAGGGATAATTTACTCTTAAAAATTGACTCTTAACAATATCATAATTTTATAAAATTTAATTTTGGTAATTAAATGAAAATATCCATCTGATTTTCCTTTGACACTATTTCATAAATAACCAAACATAACAAGCTGGTAAGTGCACCATTATACTTTTTAAAACAAGATCCTCTCCTCCACTTCTATCATAACTTCACAAGTTGATCCTCACCAATGGCACCGACAATATTCTTGCCCTAGAATGAATATTTTTCTAGACACCATATGTAATTAATTTGTATCTCTGCC